CGTGATGAGAATCTTCATCAAATAGATAAAATTATCATTATTTAAGTTTAGTAAATCACTGAGAGAGATGTTTGAAAATTATTTTGTTATGTATGAATTATAAAAAAACTTTCTTATTTTTTAATTTAAATATTATGTTGTTCCAAATGTTGGTTAAAATAATACAATTTTTAAATTAAAAAATAAAAAAATTGTAATTTACGTACCAATAAAAAATAATGGTTATTCATATTAAATATTCTCTCAATAAAGGCATCTTTACTGATACACGAGAAATCGCTTTAAACGCATAATTTAACGTCAGACGGAATTATCCATGATTTTATCTCGTAAATCTTCTTGATTTTGATTAAAGCTTTTATCCTGCGCTTACACTGCACGATACATATGTACAACATAAAAACAGCGCAGCGTCACGTATTTTCTCACTTTCGCGACTTGACGAAGTAGTCAGTAAACCGCAAGAGAAACGAGTTTGTAAATCTGAAAAAGCATGTTGACACATCGGCTGAGCGCCGATCATGCCGCAGCCGTTACAATAGTAAAGCTATGTATCGGATATCCGCGAATCATGCAGTACGTACACCTCACGTGTAACGCATCACGCGCCACGCATACGCCACATAGATTACACGTTAAACCAGCCGATAGGACTCTCTAAGGCGAGATGGGCAACTAAGCCCAGCGTGCGTCACGAGAGGCGACACATTCTCGTCATATCTTAGAACAATGTCAGCAATGTAAATTGTCAAAATCTACGTGCAATTCAGTGTAATTTACTCCACGTTAGTCTATTCAGAATATACATGAAAAGAACACTTTTATTAAAGCATCTAAAAATTTAGTTAGATACAGAATTGAAAATAATTTTAGAACATCAAAATATAAAATTATGATTCCATAAAAGGTTCCAAAATTAAATTCACAGAAAAAGAATAATAAATAATATCAATGTGAGCCGACACAGATTGTTCATGTATAGTGACGCATATATTAAATAGGTATAATAGATACAGACGTTTCAACTCTTGGTATTGAGTCCTCTTCAGTGTATAAGATTTAATCGTTTGAAATCAAAATTTAAATACTAATCGGGCTCTCAAAAAAAAAAAAAAAATACCAACGATGATATAATATATGGACAATGAGAGCGTTAACACAGCGCGGTAATTGGTGCGCAATTTATACAATAGTCTAATAATATTCACATAACATATATGTCAAGACAGTCACTGTACAATTTTAATATATATATTATGCGAATATTATTAGACTGATTGCTAAAAGCTTTTTATAATATATGCTTGAACGTTCAATTACAATTATTTTTAGACCTGTCTAAAATTTAGATCCAATAAATTTTTATATAGTTTAATAAAATTGTTTTTTTCGTGAGTTGATGTTTCCATTCCATCAGAACGCTTATTCTTCCAAAAAAAGCGAATCTGTACAAAAGCGATAGATGATTATCCAGACAGCACACAATATTTATAAATATTTATAAAACTTATTTTCAATATCTTGTAAATATTTTCGTGGTCTTAGATTGCGTAGATCAAAAACATTAATTATAAATATTATGAAACATTTATTTATATTTATCATAAATATTACATTAAATATTTATAGTTTATCTTTTAATAATATTTCGAATAAAGCTTTGTATAAAATATGTATAAAATATTTATATAACATTTCACAAAAAGAATAACAATAAATATTTATCATAAATATTCTGTGCTGTCTGGTATTGTATTAAACAAATGAAAGCCTTTGTTGAATATTTTTGCAACAAGAAGAAAATGAAATAAGGGCTCAGAACGATTAAATATAAAGTTCTTTTGACGGGCATATTTGTCCCACTTTGTAAATTTATGGAAATATTTTTAATCTATAGCATTTTATATTTACGTTCAGTTGGAGAGAACTCGTTTGAGGAATTGTGTTTTTGGATGGCTATTGTCTATGACATATAAAGAATTAAAACCGCGAATACTGAAATAACCCACGAATATCGAACGATGTTTAATTTACATATCCCACTCGGCTCGGCTGCTTACTTGAATCGTTAATATCCACTGACGCTAATTCGACTCAACAGAGTTGCATGAGTTTCTCATCTTTGTTCTCTCTCTGCCTCTCTGTGCGGCACTGCGATGGTTTAGCGATTGTGATGAGAACGCGTCCCGGCGTAACGGTAGAGACAGTCGGAAAGACAGGCAGTTCCCTACCAGATCTTACCACCTTGCATAATGCATCGCGCGACGCTACTAAGTCAAAGGGGAAACTTCCCTGACGTGAAACGCCAAGAACACATACGTCCCTCTTCCACTCCTCTCTTCCTTCCTTATTGTTCAGCAGCCCGTTGCAAATCTTTCTATTGGGTTTCGACCTGCTTTATTCTCTCTTGACTGTTCCCATCTTTCACAATGCATCAATCTCTTTATCCGTTAATTGCTGAAACGTTTATCGATCTGTCGTCACTTGTCACAGATTTTATGGACATACGTGAAATTATGACCGATGCGACATGTTAATCTATAGTGAGTGAACTGTCCAGTTGCCAGAAATGTGTTTGAGCTATTGTACCATGACAAAAATAAAAATGGTCGAATTGGTTGATTTACACATAAAATTTTTCATGTAATTTCATATCAATTAGAATATAAAAACTCGTACGAATTTTTCATGTAAAGATAATTGAAGTTTTAATAAAATTGTTACGCATTAGCGCGATCGAGCATGCGTAACTTTCGTACAGTCGTTCACTTCGAATTTGCTTGCGTTGGGTTCCACAGACGAGCACAGTGCGGTACGTTAATTCCAAAATCCCGTGAAGCACTTCGACCATCGTCATCTCGTATGTATCACGTCGTAGTTGCGTAGACGCTACGTGCGGACGGTGGTATAGTAATCTACTTCACACGAAGTTTCAGCCAAGCTCGAGTTAAGTCGGCCGTGTCGAGTAAGCCCCCGGTGTTACCACGGCTGATGAGTCCGGGACACTTTGGGGTACGGTTACCGAAAGGCGACACGTTCTCTCGCATCACGATAGAAAGTCACTCCGCCGACTTCAGCACAGCGTATCGGCGATCACTTCTTGATACCGGTTTCCAGATTCAAATTATATCGTCGATAGCGTCCTTTCGTTTGCCACGCAAAACTGGTTTTCTATTTATTTTAATAAAAGAATTTAATTTTAAACCCTGGGCATAATTCGTTTTCTTTTAAATGAAAATTTGCATCTTATAAATTTTATTATCCTTAAATTTATTACGAAATTTCTTTTGTAACATGAACTAAATCTGTATTTAATGCAAAATTAGTAATAACTTTGTTGAAAATTAAATAATAATTTTTTGAACCTTAAAGATTTTAGAAATACATACGTATATTTTGACTGACAATGAATTATTAATTATTACAAAATTAAGATAAAAAGTTTCATTTAGAAAGCATTAATTATGTGTATTTTGAGCCTTAGAGTGTGTAATTTGCTGTAAGTAGATCTCTATGTATAGTTCTACGTATGGTATTATTAGGTAATATGGAACTGAATTAGCTAACTCCACATAGTCTGATGTTCTACATTTTATATGCGTTACGAAGTGCGATAATCATATAACTTTGTGTCATACCACTAGTTAACTTAGAAGGCTTAGAACTGAGGAGAGTATGTACTTCGTGAATGCTCGCTTCGGTACTACATAATGAACTTTTAGTGGTCATACAGTTTAACGTTAATGATATCTTACAATGAAACTTTAACGTGCTTCTATATTAACTTAAATCTCTTCGCATATTTTTATTATTTACAACAAAAATTTATTCTTTCGAAAGATTTTTAGTCGATAAAAATATAATGCTTTATATAATATGTTGTATTTCCTACTGCTATTGTGTAGCAATACAGATCTATTTCCAATTTCACATACAAGAAAGTTAAATCAATGTCCCAAAATATATTTGTACTGTCGCGGCTGGTTCACAGTTAAAAAGATTGAAAAGAATAAACAACTCTACCTCGCGGGTCTCGCGAGACCCTGCATCCGCTGGCGGAAGGTTAAATTATATCGTATAATTGTTGTATAAGTATACATTGAATTTTTGTTTAATATTGTTCTAATATTGCTAACAAAGAAGTACTAACAATATTTATCACAATATTTTCAACTTTTTAAAGCTCCTTTTATTTAATTGTTACGGATTAAAATTAATTAACCTTTAATTAGTCGCGCGGAGTCACCGCGACTCAAAGTCATTTCTTTTTCGTAATACTTTAATAGTATAACTTTGTTGTTTAAAATAAAAAGTATATATATTTTTTATTATATTGTTACTTATTTGTTTTATTTTATTTTGAAGTAACTAGCGACCGCGCGCTACTAATGACGTGAGTATTTTCGCGCAATTACCTAAAATCTTGAAATATAATTAAAGAAAAAATTATATTACTTTTTTCTATTATCAAAATTTGTTAGAAGAAATTAAAGAGAGAATGACATTAATATTTTGACAGCTTTTATAAATGTGATCAAATTGTATGAAATAATTTTACTTTTTAATTTAATTATTATGTGCATCAAATATGATAATTTAAAAAATGCACTCAAGTTACTTTTATAATTAAAATTTTTATTAATAGAACGTTCACTAGATGCATAGATATATTACCTATGCAGTTTATATTATTATTAGTAATTTTAAATACGGAGTGACTTAATATTGCATTGTGTTATAGAACAATTATTAATTTATTAATATTGTCTTAAAATAATCATAAGTTTACTATTTTCTCATTATGATAGTATTGCTAATTTAACTCAATCTCGAATCTAAAAACAAATAAAAATTGGAATAATAACTAAATTGAGATACAAGCGATTTAATATTTTTTAGAAATAAAAAAATAAATTTTTATTTATGATTTACAATAAACAAAAATATGTTTATAAATTTGAATTACAATAATATTTTTATTATTTGAAAAATTTCAAGATTTAGTAACGGGAAAGTACAGTATTGTTTAAGATGAAACGTATAATCTGGATGATAGTCAACGCTATTACACATTTCATTATAAATAATGCTATGGCCAACAACGCAATAATATCCATATCGTAACGTTGATACCATGGTTTATCGCTGTCACTAAATCGAAGATGATTTGCTTCTTTGTGACGCATCACAAATTCTATCCACCATATTACATTCTCAATGCTGTTATATGGTTGATCCTTGGTGAGAGAACTTAAACGAATCATTTTTTCTTTGTAACTGCAAAATAAATTAACGAACTATTAGTATCAGTTTTATCACATTTATGTATTTATGTATTAAATAAAAATTTCATACTAATTTAATACTAAAACAAAAACTGATTATAAAATATAACTTAAAACGTATTTCTCTTTCACGTTGATTGTCAAAGGAGTTTTGACGAATACAGGGTGTTTCCAAATTAAATGGCAAAACTTCGGGAGCGTGTAGAGGAGTAAAAAACTAAGAAAAAAAGTCCTATAGACATATGCTCCTTTTTGCTTTGTTTCGCAGGAAATCACGAAAAAAGAAAAAAATATATTTAATTTATTATTTTAATTATTTTATTTATAAACTTTTTAATGAAGATTTTGTTCGAAATGTGCACCTCTTGCAGCAATACAAGCATTGCATCTGTCAAA